TGGATCACACGTTGCATTATTTTTACATAAGCACCTACGATGACATTTATTTCCCCAGAAACCTGTGCAGCGTGTTTCACAGGATTTCCCCATGTAGCCAGGCGGACATTTGCATTCACTCTTTGTGCCATTCTGGACACACATAGCTCCATTGCGACAACAGTCTGGGTACCATGGATCCACATTGTACATTATCGTCAACGTAACAGCTCCCTCCACAGAATAGTCCTCCATATGGCAGTGCACACTCACATTCACCTGTTATATGATGACATTGACCATCATCTAAGTTGCAGCTCCTGCAATCAAGAGCGCAGTCTTTTCCACACCATCCCGAACTACATTTCTCATCACAAGTTGGTCCAGTCCAGCCAGGCAAGCAGTCGCATTGCCCTTTAACTGGATCACATGAACCACCATTACTGCAAGCCGGACATTCTAGGCTGCATCTTCGACCATGGAAATTTACTGGACAGTGCTCACAGCAGTAATCACCCATCCAACCGTCGGAGCGGTTGCCGGTTATACCGTAGTTGGTATTAAGACATGTGCCCCCATTCTGAAAACATTGATCCAATTCGGGTGAGCAGGCCCTGTGTGCTTTTTAGTTTCTACGCAATCTATTTAAAATTACGAGAATTATGAATTGTTTTAACTGTAGCAAACTTAGAAATAATAATACTGGAAACAACTCATAATACTAAACAATGTTATTGAAATCACACCAATGAAGTTATGAACATACAAACTCAATTATAATCTCTGATACAAATTAGTATAACTGTCATAACATTAATTACGGTATTATAGGTCTTTTAAGTAAATAATAGAAATGACACAAAGATATTTTAATGATAAATATGTTTATGTTTTCTATTTAATTTATGGTTGTTTAAACGACTTACCATCTTCACAGCTTTCGCCGGTTTGGTAGAATCCAGGACGACAGTATAATTCAGTTTCCACTGTGGCAATGATAAATTGTTCTTTTCTTGTTCCACTAACAAATACATACAAGACTAAATGTTTTAATTGTTCTTTTTATTTAATGTAATATTATTCAGGCACAGGACACATTCAACTTCTTATTGTTTTGAAGTTGTTTTAATAGATAATGCTTATCATAATTGGCGATATTGTCGAAACAAAGCTATTTTGGACAACAGAAAGTAACGACAAAAGAAGCAGTAGCGACATCAGCAGCACCAGCAACACGAACAAAAGGTTAGCTAATTTCCGTTTCAAAAACACTTGGCACCAAGCAAAATAATCAACAGAGGAGGAGCATTTGCAATAATAATAATAATAATAATAATAATAATAATAATAATAATAATAATAACAATAACAATAATAATAACAATAACAATAATAATAATAATAATAATAATAATAATAATAATAATAATAATAATAATAATAATAATAATAATAATAATAATAATAATAGCAGCAGCAGCAGCAGCACAAGCACCAAGGTTAATCAATTTCTGTTTCAGAAATACTTGGCACCAAGCAAAACAATCAACAGAGGAGCTTTGGAATAATAATAATAAATAATAATAATAATAATAATAATAATAATAGTTACAGTTATAATAATAGTAATATTAGTAATAGTAATGATGATAGTAATAATAACGATAATAATAATAATAATGATAATAATAATAATAATAATAATAATAATAATAATAATAATAATAATAATAATAATTTACATTTAGAGAAAAGACATTCACCGCTCTCAATTCAAGCCCACTGTTGGAATCAGCCTGACTAAAATGAATTAGTGCTACGGCTACTGAAGTGAAAAACAGCTTACGCATTTTCTAAATGTACTTGGTTTACATTGTTTTCTTATTGTGTTTTCGCTCAATAGTCTTTCCTACATTTTGAGTCCAGAACTGAAGTGGTTAGTTAGCTTTCGTTTGCGTGACGAAGTGAAACGTAACCGTCCTGCTTCTCTGGTAGATTCATTCCAAACAGCATCTTAGAAATCAGACGATAAAGGCGTTTCGCATGCGCAGATGTCACCAAGTACGTTCTAGATGTAACCATGGACCTATTAATAATTAATAGGTCCATGATGTAACCATCTTCGTTTAATGGAAAGCTCCTTATTATCTACTACACTTTAAATTATATTTTTAGAAGTTGAGTGGTTTTGGCACAATTTTAAATTCAGTAACCTTATATTTAGGCCATTTAATTGCCGAGATACATTATGATTGTTTATCAAAATTATTATGCACCTGTTGAATCCCATTAAAAAAATTACAGTCAAATTACAATCTAATATGACCACAACATAAGGAAGTTCTTTAAATGTTTAATAGATAGTACAGAGGATTATGATTGTTTATCAAAATTATTATGCACATGTTAAATCCAATTTCAAAAAAAAAAAAATAAATGTATCAAAGTGTGCTCATAAGTATTAAGCTCTATGTCTACAATTAGGTTACCAACTCCATTGAACTCCATTAAAGACTAATAAAATTATATATGCCTTTCAATAAGGTTATAAGAATCAACGAAGAGACAGGTACTTTATATGGAATCTATGTTGCCCGCGCACATTAATATTGAAAATCGGTCGGCATTATGTTTACTACTTGTACTCTGAGGCCTAAGTTTTCCTAAGCCTAATTTCAGGATTTAGTGCAAACGACCCTTTTCTATATTCATTGTGATTGATAGATGGTTTTCACCAGTCGAACAAATCTATAATTCAGGTTAGTAAGCCTTAAAAATTTATCTTTTAAATCTCTTAATATCGTCTTTGCTAAATAACAGGCAATTAACACAAACTATTTTTATTTTACAAACGCAATTTTTGATTTTTTTTAAATCATTGAAAATAGGAAAACAAACAAACAATATTAAAATTAGCGAAGAAAAAAAACCAGTTTAAACTAATTATTCGAAATAAAACATCAAAGTAAGAATATCGTGTTTACCCGAAATAAAAGGGTATTAGGCAACTATACCGTAAATGCTCGAATAATAACATTTTTAGAGGCTTCAGTGCGGCGCTTATTCGAGAGTGGCACTTATTCAAGAGCGGCGCTTATTAAAAAAATATGGCGGGGCGCTTTCCATGCTTGTTCCCATGTTACCTATTTTACCTATTCCCGTAGTTGGGTAGGCCTATCATAGACCCTACATGATCGTAAATAAACGTTTATAAAGATATGCTTGTGTCTTCATTGTGTTATTTATTCAATTGAACACTGTAAACATTGTATTTATTACCCTGTTTCTTGAAGAGTTTCATTGCATACAGACGCTTATATTCACTCGAATAAGCGCCGCGGCGCTTATTCGAGAGCGAAACTTAGCGAAAAAAAAATCACGTTTGGTGCGACGCTTATTCGAGAGCGGAGCTTAATCGAGCATTTACGTTACCCTTTGATTTGCTGTGTGGTCACAAATTTAATTCTCAGGCGTCGCTGTTCGAAAGTTTACGTTCGGTATATAAATACATAAGAGGAGTATATTTTATATATGTATTTATTTAAAAATCATGTAAAATGAATGTATCATAGAGAGTATAGTCAATTTCGACAATTTAAACAGAAACGTTAACTAGGACCCTGCCTCCCGCGTGTTAAAAGCTTAGACTATCGAATGGATCCTGGATGGATAGACTATATAAGTAGAGCTACCACTGAGTTGAGACGGTGTTAGGATACTATATATATAATACAATATAATATAATATAATATAATATAATATAATATAATATAATATAATATAATATATGATATGATATAATATAATATAATATAATATAATATAATATAATATAATATAATATAATATAATATAATATAATATAATATAGTATAATATAATATAATATAATATAATAATATATAAATAATATAATATACCGTAATATAATGTTGTCGATAGCAATTAAGGAGATAAAAAAGAAAAATATACTATGAAGCAAATAGGCAATATTGAATAGTGAGTGGTGATGTTAGTAACATTTTAATGGAAAGTTGGATAAACACGAGTACAATATTTGATGCCTGGCTACCAGTAAATGCTTTTTGAAACCTAAGGCAATGGCATAGGCAAGTATTCGTAAAGAAATAATAGTATAAGTATAACATATATTTTACTGTATAACAATGATAATACATTAATAAAACGATACCTATATAACAAACCTAAAATATTATTATAATTTAAAAACTATAAAAATACACTATAGTGATAATAAATCATAAGGTGATATTAAATGTAACATTGATACCGTTAGAACCATGCCATGGATAGGAATCAATGTATAACGTGATACAACGTCCAAAGTGAATATACGAGCATTATTAATAGCAATGTGAAACTCTATAAACAGTTTAACGGCTTTTGTCCTTGATGTATAGATCATTTTTACGAATTTGAAATGAAATTTAAATTTTAAAGATGCTCCCTCAAGTAACTGGCTTCGAGAAGGTATGTTCAAGCTTAGGTTAATGTTTTATACTTATATAATTATCGATTGACGGTTTGCTTTTTCCGTCATCAATCCATTGAGATAGAGTTTGATCCCTCATATAGCTTTTGTGTTTAAAGCCCATTGCCTATCAATAACATCATTATCATTATGAATACCAAGGAATATTTGTAGGTCTATCACAATTCCTACAATACCGTACTCGCGCGAATAAAGGCCCGTTTGAATAAGTGTCCCTTACGTGAAATTTTCTTAAGCACCCCGTTTGAATAAGCACCCGCTTTAATAATATCATGTGATTTTTTTTAGCTAGACAATAATCCCTGTCAATCCTGGGACTGTGGTTGTTGGCATGATTTGAGCTGCGTAGTGGAATCACATTTTTCTTAGGCCAATATCAAAATGAGGATATTTCTCTTGGACAGATGAGAGCTCCCTGGACAGACAGTATATATCCAACTTTCCTCTTTTTATATTTTTCTAGGCCTAGTCCTACTCCTATTTTTCTTTTCCCAACAATTTGCACCTTTAGCACATTCTCATCTGGGTTTTGCAAGCAAACCTGCAATGATCCTGCTAATCTCAATCGGCAGATGGCCAACAAGCTAACCACCACCACTATTTCATCTGCTGTTCTGCTGTTATGTAAATACTCACTGCAATCTTGTTGTGAGCCATGCTCTCTGGACGATTATATTTTTCGCCGCACCACCATTCGTAATTTTCGGATTCCATGTTCTTATAATCTTTTTCATTAAAAGATGTCTTTGAATTTAATAAGTCTACATAAAAACCCCTCAATTTTCATCTATTTCCATAATCGCCCCCTCAATTTCCACTCTGTTTTCATAAGTGCCACGTTTGAAATGCGCCCCAAAAAAGTGCAAAAACTATTTTAAGCGCCCGGGCGCTTATTCGCTCGAGTACGGTATTTTGAATACAAAATGAAATTGAAAAAAAAAACACATTGAGGACCACTGACATTCGTACAAGTGTCTTTCATTAAAAACAATATAGCATTTGTCTAAAAACTAATATAGCACACTGCCACACCTTCTAACCTAATCGATCACCATTCTAGGTTAAAAAAATAAGATATATGCACTTGATGCTAGGAATTGGCACTTTCAGACTATTTTGCAATTTATATTTCTATATGTAACGAAATTTACATTAATTGTAAACTATGCTACGTTATGCTACTTTAAATGAAATTATGTGTAGTAGTAGTAGTAATGCTATATGCTACGGGGTCCAAATTATGCCAAAAAAATATATGGCCTATGCTACAAATGACCACTATGTGCAGCTTTCATGTCATCTTAGGTTGCGTCTTCGTTTTCAGGTTGTATATTGACTAGGAGAAGGCCTATGTTATCGTCACCTTCACCATCATTACCACCTGTTTTGGACAGAGCATAAAATAAGTACGCATTATCTGAAACAGATGACAAAATTATCGCCGGTTCAAATATTTTATATTCGATCTTTCTCTTAGCCCAACATTACTTGAAAACAATAATAAGTGCATACCTTCAATTTTCTGTGCTGCTAACAGCATTCGCGTGCTTTGAGGATTACATTTTTTCAGTATCCTAGTGAAAATATAAATTAGGTTGTAAAATGCAGCAGGTTACATGTGTGCAATTAGCATCAGACAATTACCCTACCAGATAAAAAGCGTGCGTTAACACTGGTGCAAAAAGTATAGAATACAAATTAAACCTCTTCTGTAGGTAAAACGAATACCCAAACAATAAGATTCACCAGATCTCCTTTATACAGACTGCTGACATGATACCGTACTAAAGTACTCTAAAATTCTGAGATTAAAGACTTGGGGATTTTACTACTAAATATAGTTTGCTTTTCAACCAAAAACATGAGATTATGAGTTTCCTATCTATTACCTGGTCTACATTCTGGACGGTTCGGCAAGCCTGATTGTGGCTCACACTGCGCGTCTTAAACTTCGAAGGAGGACCTTCCATTATGACTTAATTTTATGTGTCTTTGGAAGATCGGCTTCACCCACTAAAACCAGAACCGAAACCAGAACTCACCGCGGATTCTCTTCGTGTCCTTTATTTCTAACTCTGAGTACGAGGGCAACCATGACGAAGACGGCAAGAATACCAAAAACAGCTATCAGGGAAATGGTAGTAACATTTGGACTACTGGATTCTGCTACCTTACCAGCACCTACAGAAATACAACAGGACACAAATTATAATACTACAGTACTCTAAAATGTTATTATTATTATTATTATATAAAATTTCAAATAATGAATGATATGATTTTTATTGAAAAGGTGCAATATAATGTATTATAATGAGGCCTAATTATTATTATTATTATTATTATTATTATTATTATTATTACTATTAATATTATTATTATTATCATTATTATTATTATTATTATTATTATTATTATTATTATTATTATTATTATTATTATTATTATTATTATTATTATTACTATTATTATTTTGATAAAGATTCATCTATCCAGGAAGTGAATAATATAATATTTTAAACTTCGAACACTGGATATTATTTTACGAGCTTAGGCTTCCTTTGAGGTTTTCAACCACTGTCGTTGAACCATCTTGGTTCTACGGTTAAGATCTCCGCCTTATCCAGGCCAATGCTATGGTCCGGAATTTCCGTAATAATGTGTTTAGAAACTTCAGACGAAACTGTGCTTTATTAATATCCAGTGTTCGAAGTTTAAATTAAATGGACCACAGAGGGAGAAGTTATGTTACACACACCGATGAAGAATGAACCTGATATTAACCAAGGGGCCCTAGTGTTTCTTGATTTGAATACAGTTATCAATATAGATGGATCTGTTAAGACAAAGGTTTTTAGAAAAACTACATACACGGACCAATATTTGAACTGGCACATACACGGAACTTAGTAAAAACACTATTGCATAAAGCAGATAATTTAGTTAGTGAAGAGCC